CACACACACACACACAAAAGACTTTTTTTACCATCTAGCATAAGGCTCCACGTCAGAATGAGCATCAAAGTGTATTGCTCTTTCGAGTATGTATCTATATAACCCTAAAGATCTTGTAATTCAATTCTTTCATGTGGTTGAATGATGCATCTGATGTGATATGTAGCCTACATTTTGCAGGCCTTCCTTTTCTTTTCATACTTACTTTTACTTTTACTTTTTCATCCTCTATTGCCGTTAAGCGTCATAAGGGGAGATGCAGTTTTCTATGGTAGGCCAGCTCCGCAGCTCTTTCAGTTGTGTTTTCTCACGGTTTTCTTGTCACTTGACACCCTCGACGCACCTTTTACGTGGCCTTCCTCTTCCTTTATAGCCTGAGTACTTGGTGTTATAGGCTCTCGAGGTTGGTTGGCCAGGTGACATACGAAACAGGTAGCCAAACCTTTTTTTTTTCTCTGTCTATCTATGTAATGCAGTCAGGACTCAATGCCGATAGCTGCTCTTACTTTTTCATTTCTCTGCCTGTCTCGTCTTGTGATGTTAAGGGTTTTGGGGAGACATTTCATTTCGCATGTGGTGATTTTGCTTTCATTGGTTTTATTTAATGTCCAAGTCTGGCACTGGTAGCATAATGTTTGTATGAATATTGAGGTGATAAGCTGTCTCTTTGAGTCCATGGAGATGTTTGGATGAGATAGGAGGGGTGCGAGCTAGTAGGTGACAGAGTTGGCTTTTTGGGTTCGCATTTCTATTTCTCTTTCTATGACCCGTTTTCAGAAAAAGTACTGCCAAGATATTTAAACTCCTTCACCTGTTTCTGTTGTTTACTATTAACATCGTCATGGATGTTCAGGGGACTACAGTTTCGGCTCACTTTCATAACATCTGTTTCCGATGAGCTTATTTTCATGATAAATTTTTCGCAGCTGTTGTTCAGTTCGGTAGTGTGATTTTGGAGGCTTTAAATTGTTGGTTTGGGTGAATAAGACATTGGTCGTTTGCGAATAGTTCATTTAGGCTTTCTGGGCTTTGGTTTGCGTCTTGCGTTATTGTGTCCATATATATATATTATATCAACAGGAGGGGGAGATAGAACGCATTCCTGTCGTACTCCAGATCTTACTTTGAACCAGTCTGTATTGCCCTTCTTCGTTCTCACTAAGCTTTTGCTGTTGGTATATAGAGCTCTGACATTATCTAACATGTATCCTCTGACGCCATACTTTTCGAGTGTCGTCCAGAGTTTTGCATGGTTTACTCTGTCAAAAGCCTTTTCCGGGTCTATAAAGACGATGTTGGATTCTGTGTTGTGTTCGATTGTTTTCTCGCATATCTATCTTAATGCGAATACAGAATCCATGCATCCTCTTCCCTTTCGGAACCCAACCTGAGCTTTGCTCTCTTTCCATATTGAATTTCAATGAAAGTAATATATAATTTAAATTTCTATGTATAGGCCTACTAGCATGTGTTTTTACGGTCCAGTACAGCCAAGAAAAATTTCCCTCTGGGATAATAAAGTATTACTTTATCTCATCTTATCTTATATATCACGCATTTTAAGGGCGTTTAGCTAAAAACCGTTTGCTATTATCTTGTCTCGTATCAGAACAACAATAGATGAGAGACTAAGAGAGGAACAGGAGGGTTTTCGACCTGAGAAATCATGTACAGATCAACTTTTGTTCTGAGAAATATTGTAGAACAAAGCAAAGAATGGAATGTCCCCATTATTTTGAACTTTGTGGACTTAAAAAAGCCTTTGACAGCATAGACCGAGAGGCCCTGTGGAAAATTCTTGCAATTTATTATGGCATCCCAACAAAAATAATAAACTTTACAAGATCATTATATAACAAAGCAAGCTGTATATATATTATCACCTGTACTTTTTGGAATGGTAATCGATTTTTTAAGGAGACATAGCAAAGTTATTGAAACAGGCATTTGATGAACAAATTGCACATCCTTAGTAGATTTAGATTTTGCAGATGACCTCTGTGTATTAAATACCACAGTATATTGAATGCAATTTCTAAAAAAACCAAAACCGAACGAACTAGCAAAAGCTGCGGAAAAGTTGGCCTTATAATAAATGTTTCTAAAACAGAAGCATTACGACTATCATCAGAAACTACGCCTATCACTCTTTACGGAGAACTTCTTGCATAAATTAGTAAATTCGAGTACCTTGGTAGCATTATATCCAAACTGTAGACTGCCTTGACGACGTCCAAAAAGACTTTTAAAAATGCATTGGTCGCTTTTGTGAACTTCTTTTTGCACCGTCCTCTGGGCTCCTGACTTTTTCTGCAGCCTTTCAACTGTTATTCCTTGGCCCCTTCTTCCTTCTTACTTTCAGATTCAGCTACATACCCCTGATCTTAGGGTATGTAAGATCAAACACTTCACCTTCTCGGATAAGGGAGAAAAATCTCGGAGATCCCGTATGCAAGTTGTGTACTTTAAAGATCCCTTGGTGGTCCAAAATCAATAAGGGTAGGCTTGGGCTGCCGCTTAAAAAAAAAAAATAGTAAAGAGTTTTACGGCACTTGCAGCACAATAAGGTCATAAGAGTGCTGAAGATTAGAGGTGTTACAAGAGAGTAACGAACAGAAAAAAGGAGGAGAGATAAGGGCGACAGATGTTTGATAGGAAAGAAGGAGCAAACCACACCAGAGCTCCCGCCAACCAACCACAGCCGCCGATATAATGTTTGATATGTCCCGCGCGCTCATATGACCGTGTGCAGTTGCAAGCGCCGTTAAACACTTACCAAAATCAAAACCGATATACTGCGCACAAGCAGGGAGGCATAAAAGGAGAGAAGAAAAAAAAGATCAACAACCGGTACCAACGAAATTTGGAGCAACCGACCACTTTGTGTTGGTCATTACGTTATCTCCGAAGCAGTCTTCGGTAAGCTAACAAATGTGTCAAGACGCGGTGGAATCATGCGCTCGTAGATTTTTTCGGGATGCGGAGTTATTGGTATAATCTTTTAAGGCTTGTTCATTTGTCTTGATTTCGAAGAAAAAAAATACCAATTTATCTTGAATACAAGACGAGATATTTACGATTGAAGGAAGTAGGGGAAACTTGGTTTCAGGGGAAAAATTAGTGAGAAAGTGGCTGCCGAAGATTAGTTATTTCCTTAGCTTGAGAGTCCATGGAAACAGAAAATGTACACCTTTTGAGTCTTTAATCAACATTTTTCAGTGCTATCCACACAGAAATAATGTGTTCTTTAATGAACATGAAAGGTGATGAACCAAAAAATCAAAAATTCAAAACAGCGGTAAAATGCCAGTTTCTTCAGTTTCGTTATTTTGACGAGTGCCTGATTTCACCCCGCTGCCTCACAAATACTCTCTTTTCTGACCCAAAGTATATCAGCTGGGATCTTGGCTTGACGCAATCTAATTATAATTCTGCACTTCAGAAAGGGTGTGTGTGGGAGAACCGGAATCAAGCGAGGCCAGGACTGGACGTAAAAATTCCCTGCTGGACACGACGAAACTGACTGACACACACACCATACCCTAATGGCAAGGGCAATAACCGTGTGTCCGGAGTCCTACCTTCGTACTGTTTCCTCACAAATAAAATAAAACACAGTGTCACCAGCAAAAATAGAAAAAACAGGCCACACAGGCACAGTTCACAGTTGCCCATCTACGCTTTAAAGAGGATTTTTAAAGAAAAAGAGAAAAGGTTAAAACCTGATAAGAAAAATGAAATCAACATCTGAGATCGTCATGATCTCATTCCTGAACATAAACGGTTGTTGTTAGCTGCGTCAGTGATCGTATTATGACAAAGAGATTTGAGTTAAGGCCTTGGCACCTGAAAGATGCAAGTGTGTGAGTGTATGTGTGTGTGTGTGTGTGTGTGTGTGTGTGTGTGTGTGTGTGTGTGTGTGTGTGTGTGTGTGTGTGTGTGTGTGTGTGTGTAGTGTGTTTATGTGCGTGTGTGGATGTATTATATGCGTGTGCATGCGCACGTGCGTCCATGTGTGCGTGTGTGTGTGTGTGTATGTGTGTGTTTGTGTGCTTGTGGGTACATGTGTGTGTGTGTGTGTGTGAGAGAGAGAGAGAGAGAGAGAGAGAGAGAGAGAGAGAGAGAGAGAGAGAGAGAGAGAGAGAGAGAGAGAGAGAGAGAGAGAGAGAGAGAGAGAGAAAATTTCCAATTGTCAGGTGTTCGAAAGGGAGTTTAGCTTGTTTGAACCTGCTAACAAATTAAAAAAACAACAACCAACCAACCAACCAACCAACCGACCAACCAACTAACAAAACAAACAAACAAACAAATAAGCCAAGAACAACAACAAAACTATAATGAGATATGTGGTCCAGAAATGTACAGTAAACATTGTGTTTATCTTCAACAACAGTTGGACGCACTGGAAAAGATCACCCGTGCCGGGGGAGAAATGTTCCTTAATACCAACGTAATATTATGTTGTTGTTAAAAAACTTATTTAAATTAAAAAGACAAAGGAATTTGTCATAATATATTTCAATTCTCAAGGTTCGATGGAAATGGAATCAAAAGTTATTAAACAAACAAGAAACCAAATAAACAAACAAACAGACACATAAACAGAAAAACAAACAAAAACAAAAACGAACAGATAAACAGACAAACAGACAAACAAACAAACAAAAAAACCAACAAGCAAGCAAAAAATCCATTGACATTTTGGTGTATAACGAGTTCTGGTCACAGAGACTGTCACGTTTTGACGGCCAAAGGCTGTCACGTTTTGTTGTCATGTCTCAGTATAGAAAAATTAGCTGTCCAGTCCTATCTCCTGACAATATCTGTTAGAAGAACTGACTTAAAAAAACATGGATGAGTCATTAACCTTTAGTATTGTGTGACAGAGAGAGCACAAAGTCGCTAATTTTCCGCCATGCGATACCCACAGATGTTTGGTTGCCACCAGTCCGAGTCCAAAGCGTCTTAAACAGAATGTTTTTTCCAATGCTTTACAGGTGTACCTTAGTACACTTTGCGGAAAGTATATATATGAATATAAAGTAAAACAGAATATACTCACATTTGAACACAGTTGGAAAGAAGAGGAGTTATTACGTCATCAAAAATACTGATTTGCAACGTAGAAAAAACTGGTATTTCTTTCTTTTAAATTGTGGGGAAGATGCTACTTACAACTATTTTTAAAAAATGACGTTCAACTTTAAAAGAAATCTGGACATAATGTTGTTGTGTTCGAAAATTTGAACAGTCGAAGACGTCTAGTCATACGGCATAAAAGCTTTGTTTTGGGTGAACATCACATCTTTCACGGAGAATAAGGACATCAGTATCACTGTTCTAAGGAAAAAATTGAAAAGGGACATTCCGATTTCAACAAACATTTAATTTTAAGGGGGGGG